GCCCCCAGTGTTTACATAGAAGAGGCCCTGCTGTTCCTGCTAGAGCTGCTCCTTGTTGGGTAGGTTGGACTGCAGACTCTAAGTCATTACAATAAATTCTTTTAATATATAGAGGCATTCTATGAGTTCAGTGACTCTAGAAAACCCTGACTAAGACCGTCACTTAGGGAAGGCAAGGCAAGAACATAAGGAAGAAACCTAGAGGCAGGAATGATAGCAAAATGCTGTTTGATGGCTCCCTCTCTGCCTTGCTATCAGCTTTCTTTCTTACATGGCCCAGAACACAACCAACTGCTCAGGGATAGTATCATGGCTGCTCCAGTATCAATAAAGAATCAATAAATAATCAAGACAATTCCCCACAGACTGCTAGTCTTATCGGGACAATACCCCAATGGAGACTGCCTCAGATGACTCTGGGCTGTTTTGAGTTGACAGCTGACCCTAACTGGGACAGGTGATTATTCTGGAGCATCCAATGTACCCTAAGTCTAATAAAATATAACCTTAAAAAGGGAGAGAAGGAACATAGGATACATACACACAAGATTAGACAATGGAAGTACAGGGTGATACAGCTTTAAGCCAAGATATGAATGAACTGCCAGAAGCTGAAGAAAAAAATAAATAAATAAAAGGGAAATAGAGAAATAGCTTTTCTATGAGAATCTCCTCAAAGGAACACAGCCCTCTGTCTTAGGGTTTCTATTCCTGCACAAAACATCATGACCAAGAAGCAAGTTGGGGAGAAAACGGTTTCTTCAGCTTACACTTTCCACATTGCTGTTCATCACCAAAGGAAGTCAGAACTGGAACTCAAGCAGGTCAGGAAGCAGGAGCTGATGCAGAGGCCATGGAGGGATGTTACTTACTGGCTTGCTTCCCCTGGCTTGCTCAGCTTGCTTTCTTATAGAATCCAAGACTACCAGACCAGGGATAGTACCACTCACAATGGGCCCTCCCCCATGATCACTAATTGAGAAAATGCCTTACAGCTGGATCTCATGGAGGCATTTCCCAAAGGGACGCTCCTTTCTCTGCGATAACTCCAGTTTGTGTCAAGTTGATACACAAAATCAGCCAATACACCCTCTGTCCACAGTATTCAACCAGCGATACAAATTGTATCTTTCTTGCTCCCGATGCTCCAAAAGAACAAACTGCTGCTGTTTTCAATCACCCAGTCTATGGTAATCTATTATAGCATGTGTGAGAAACAAGTGCAGAGACACAGAGAACACACAATCCAGGAAGGGAGTGTCTGACGGTTGACTGTATACTCTGTACAAAGACCCAGAAGCAATCCTGAAGAATCTGTATGTGCTAAAGAAAGCATGTATTTTTCCAGGGCAACTGAGAGAACTGTTCTGTGTCTCTCATACTAGGGTTTAACAAAGGAACTAAGCAGCATTGTGAACAGTATCATGCCTTAGTGAATTATACAGCCCAAATAATAGAGTGACTAGTGTTTCTTACTGTACAGGCTTCCTCCAGAGCTGTAACTGTTTAATACAGTTCCTCATATTGTGGTGACCCCAACCATAAAATCCTTCCATTACTATGTTTTAACTGTAATTTTGCTACTGTTATGAATCACAATGTAAATATCTGATAAGTGACTCACCAAAGGGGTCACAACCCACAGGTTGAGAAGCACTGCCCTAGATGATGTACTGTAATTGTAAACTGAAATAGTTCCTCCCCAAGTTGCTTTTGGTCATGGTTGTTTATCACAGTAAGAGAAAGCAGACTAGAACAATCTATCATTTTTACATAATAGAACTAAGCTGCAGCATAGCTATATTATGGGGTCTGTGATTTCCTCAAGATTTCGGAATCTAGGGAAATCTAGACTTGGGGACTCCCAAAATAATTCTACCTTGACTGGTGGAACATAATGACATTCTGAGCCCCTAAGAATTAGCATCAATTCCAGACAATGTTTAGTAATTGAGTGATCTCTTTTGCACACTATCCTCCAGTGCTAAAGTTTGCATTGTGCACATACTTGTAAGGGCCTTAATGAGACTGTGGGACCTCCATCCTTTCCTTGCCTACTCTTGCTTCAGAGCCATGAAGTGATACCTTTGCTCCATAACACTCTGCACTGATGACGTTGCCTTGCACAAGCTGTCAGCAGCAGGGCCGACTGACCCTGGACTAGTGTGTCAGGAGACCAGGAACCTGAAAGAGCCATACCAAGATGAACATATAAAAGAAGCCAGTGGAGAAGAAGAAAAAGGAGGAGGAAGAGGAGGAGGGGACAGGAGGGGGAAGAGGCGAAGGTAGAAGAGGAGAAGGAAGGAGAAAAAGAGAGGGGGGAAAGGGAGAGGGAGAGGGAGAGGGAGAGGGAGAGGGAGAGGGAGAGGGAGAGGGAGAGGGAGAGAGAGAGAGAGAGAGAGAGAGAGAGCTCTTCTCTACTCAGGCTACTTGTAACAAACAGAACTTTAATGAGTAAAGCCACAATATACAATGAGGGCCAGGGACATGCTGTGTCAATGATCATAAGTGCACACGCCTCAAGGTTCAGTGCTTCTGAGCATACACAGGTCTTTCCCCTACCACTAGGTCACTTGTATTCCTGAGGCTACTTTTCCTTTCTCAATAAATGTTCTCCATTGCTATTTGTAAGTATGTGTTCTTATGCAAACCTTTGTCCTGGGACAAATGAATATGGACACTTTACCAAGAGTACTCTAAATCCAGATCCCTGCTCGTAACACTAGAAGGTTACAAACTATGAGCCTAAGAAAACAGCTCTGTTTATAATTCTGGCACTTTGCTGTGATGATGGAGCACTCACCAGGCAGCCACAATACCACAGGTCTGTGGACAGCCACACTACCACAGGTCTGTGGACAGCCACACTACCACGGGGCTATAGACAGCCACACTACCACAGGTCTGTGGACAGCCACACTACCACGGGGCTGTGGACAGTCACACTACCACGAGGCTGTAGACAGCCACAATACCACAGGTCTGTGGACAGCCACACTACCACAGGGCTGTAGACAGTCACACTACCATGGGGCTGTGGACAGACATACTACTGAAGTGCCATGGTTGCCTAAGGAAGCTGTAAAGATTTATGGTCTGGAGCCACATAAATGCCTAAAGACCCTGGATGGGCTCTTCAGTCAAAATGCTCTGTCTATGATTTGAATAACTTGAGGGAATGCAGGCATGGCTCTTTTCAATTGCAGGGAATCAAGTAAGACTTTAAGCACTAATTCTATTCTGTTCCATGAAAAAAATTAAGAAATGCTGTAGTAGGTGTTGATGTTCTTCTGCTCTAGATCCTGTGGCAATCAGTCACAGCCAAGGATTCCTGCAGGCAAGGCATCTTACCCGATATTCACACACACACACACACACACACCAGATCCTGTGGCAATCAGTCACAGCCAAGGATTCCTGCAGGCAAGGCATCTTACCTGATATTCACACACACACACAGACACACACACACACCACACACACACACCACACACACACACACCACACACACACCACACACACACACACACACCACACACACCACACACACACACACCACATACACACACACCACACACACACACACCACACATACACACACACACACACACACGCATGCAGGCAAGCACGCACTCACTCACTTGCACGCACATGCACTCACACAATTAAAGGGGCAACTGACAATGGTTAATAGTTCATCAACTATTAAATATCACGCATCCACTTTGTTTCCATCCACTGCTCTGAGGATGAAACCTCCAAATTCTGCTGAAGCATTTTAGGCTATAGACGACTGAAACCCTTTTATTCCACATCTGTGTGTTTGGATGTTTTGGTCACACCCATCTTCCAGTCTAAGGCATTATAGACTCTACCTCTTTGGTCAGCACGTTGGGAACGAGCAAAAGAAACTTATTTTGAGTACTACCATTTCCTTTTCAGACTCCATTTAATCACAGGAAGAAAGTAAATTCAAGATCCAAGGCCCTAGGGAGCTGGGGACTTCCCAATAGCTGAACAGCTTCTGTTGTAAGGAAACAGTTATCTGAGTCCAGATATCCCAGGGACAACTTCTCCATCTTTCTGGCAGGGTCAAACAGAATTCATGTTCCCAGGTCCAGAAATCAACTCCTATCCTGATTGATGGGAACGACCTTGCTCAACCCCTTATCTTAAAATATGATTGATAATGCTACAGCCCACCCAGCTCCCCACTCTATGGTTTCCTGCTTTAAATATGCTATACAACATCTCTCCGAGATCATAGTTCAGCTCTCCCGTCTTTTCTGTGGCTCTGATCCATCAGTAGTGTATTGATTACAGTTAAGTTTTTGTTACCTGCATGGATTTGAAGTTTGAGTTCCGCTGGATTTAAGCAGATCCCACAACAAGCACACCAAGGTGCACACTTCCTTATGCCATGTGTCCTATAACTTTGTGTATTTCTCTATTGTATATTTATTATTCACAATTCTTCACGCTCTTTGTGGTGTGCTGCAGTTACTACCTGAGGCTCAATTCTGAGCCTATTTCTGTCCTGTTTCCCTTTTAGAGCTACGAAGAAGTGCTAACTAATACTATACAGACATCTCAGATATCTAGAAGTCTCTCTAAATTACTGCCCGTTGTTTTTCAAATGCACAGGAAAGCTTCCATAGCCACCTTAACTTGTCCCAGACCTGGCAAGCCAAGTAGGAAGTAGGGCCCTGGGTCTGTGATCCTTAAAGCCAGAACGGCTACCACTGAAGAAAACCTGGTACTAACAAAAAAGACACAATTCCTTCCTGCGTTACACCACCAGGGAGCGAGGAAAGATGACGCCAGTCACTTGTCAAAGATTCTATGATCTTGCATTAAGACGCCCGCGGTTGACACCACCACAAAACTAGGCTGGCAGCCAGGTCAGCGGCGCGACCTTCCATCTGCGCAGGCGCACGCAGATCGCTTCCGCTATGGGCGTGGTCACTCCTGGGCGTGGCCGTGGTGGGGGCGTGGTTTGCAGGCGGCTAGGCTGTCCGCACCCCCAGCCTGAGTGGGGATGGCGCTGGGGGTCCGGGAGCACCGGTTCTCGGGGCAGGATCTAGCCTCGGAGACCCCAGTGATGGCCACAGCATCGTCCAGTGCTGTGAGCTCCCGCCGCTTCCTGCTCTGTCTCTACCTGATAGGCTTCTTGGTGAGTGCCCGCCCCGGGGCTGAGGAAAAGCAGTCTCTGCAGACTTGGGGTCCTGGAAGCGGGTCCTGGAAGGGCTGCGCCTACCTCAAGTTCTGGGGCATTTACACAGCTCCAGCTCGGAGCCTGACATGTGCTGTGAGGTGCCTCCTCTTGCCCTTTCACTACCGACCTCAGGTGTGAGTCCTTGGCCCAGTCTACACTGGAGGTCCTGAAGTTGGAAATTGGAAGTCACGGTGAACTGCACACAACTGCCTTTGGCAAAATGGCACGTGTTTTTGTTTTGTTATAATTTATGTGCATGTGTGTATTGGTGTGCCCTGTAGAATGAGAAGCTTAAGAAGTTATCCTTCCATCCATTCATCCGCTTATTAATGAAGTTTTATTATTAATGAATATTCATACAGTTTCTGAATGCCTGCCGCGTGTGGTACATGCCCTGGAGCACTGACATCATAAGCAGTTTCTGCTTCCAGAAAATTTACAGTTTTAGTCTTGGACCATTTTCAGTGCAGGGACCCTGATTCACACTGGCTCCTCTTTCAAGTCTAGGTTTGGTTCAATAGGCCCGGAGTTGTAAGCAGCAGGAAGAATCATTACGGTAGGATTCCTTCATCAGGCAAATGGAACCGGTTAGTTGAATGATCAATGGGAAAAGACTCTGTGGCAAGTATCTATCTGATTGGCACTGAACCTGATAAACAGGAATTGTTCCCTGTCCTAATAAATTAAGTCTACTATTTTTTCCAGACTAAAGGGCTGCTGGAATTAGGAGTTAGCACGCTGAACCATGTAGCTGAGGAGCTGAGAGACAGCCTCTGTTTGGATTGCCAATTGTCCAACAGTTGGTAAAGGGTCTATTCAATTAATACTTGTTAGAATCTTGAGGAAAGTAGATTTCACCAAATGTCTGTATTTACAGAGCTAGGAGGTATTGAGTACCATGCCTGAGAGACATCTCTGCCTCCATAGCTTTGCAGGTCCCTAGATACACAATTTCCCTTCTTAGCCTCCATGTCTTGACTTTAGAGTCTAACACCCTTGCTTTTTGGTTGCACTTTAGGGATGGAGACGTGGCTTACTTCCTCTGTGTAGTCTAGTTACTCAGAATTCAAAGTTGCTGAGTGTGGATTGTTCTGGGAAAGGATACTGATTGCCATCCACTCAGGGTGATCGGTGTCTCCAACCTGCTGAGGCCCTACCAACAGAGGGCACCTAGGTTATTTGTGGAAAAGACTCAGGCTTTCACTTGGAACATTCAGACTTCACCCGGAGGGTAACAGCCACTACCAGGAGTTAGCATTCAGAATAGTTTGGGAATTACAATGAAATCAAGCAGTTCATATTATCATTCATTCTGTGCAGCCTTCCAACACAGACTTGGATACTCACAGCCTCCCCTGCTTTCCATATGCCGTGCACATGGTAAATCCAGTTTGATGTAAAATTTTGAGAAGTGTAATAATATATTGAAGAGAATAATATATCCAAGAACACATCTTGAGGGAAATACATATGATTTCCAAATAGTTTTTAAAAGGTTAAGGATTTTTTTTTCCGTGAGAAATGTTGTAAAGGGTCTTATCGTATGCAGCTGTATGTATTGTTGAAGGAGCTTATGCTGACTTTTGCAGTAATAGATGGTATTACACGCAGTTTAGTCGCTACTTTAGTGTACTCTGAGACCCCCAAGGCTTCAGAAAATGGTTTCTGATTGAAAGAGGAAGGGCATAAGATTGGAGAAGTCATTTGCCAAATGTTCTAGTTTTAGCTCTCGATATACTTTTGATATTTTAAATTTTTTTCACTCAGAATAGTGAAACTCATTCCTTTGCCACATTTTGGTTAAACTAAAATGGTGCTGAGGTCTATGATTTCATCTGCTTTTCTCCAGATACCTGGTCAGTTTCTCTTCCCTCTTCCCAGCCTGTAGCAAATGACAGTTTATCTGCATTGAGATAGCCCCCCCCCCCATAGTGAGAAACTCTGGGTTTCATTCCCCATACAAAGCAGTGAAGCTCACGTGTACTCATCACTTTCTGTTGGGAAACCCTGATGTGCAGGGGAAGGTTAGTGGTCCCATCATGCTGACTTTCTTATGAATGGGTGCAAGCACACAAGCTGTTGTCAGATGCATCGTATGAAAAATGGTGGCTCTGTAGGAAGTGTAGATCAGGAAGGAAGTACTCATTGCAGTAAAGGAGGAGAGATTTTACATTAGAACTTCCCAAGAAGAAAGAGTCAGCCAAGAAGAAAGACTAGCTTTCCTGGTAAAAGTAGTGATATTTTAGAGCCACCAAGTGCAAAGGTGATATCGCCAGCTCTTGCTCATGGGCCTATTTTGTACTCTCCATAGTTCTTAGTCCATGAATATCAGTATTTCACCAGGCTTCTGCCATCCGCGTGCTTTCCTGGGCTCAGGTATTGATGTGTGACAGATTTTGAAGCCTAGCATGGTGGAATATGCTTGTGACATCAGTTCTCAGGAGGCTGAGGCACAAGCAGGGTCATCCTGGGCTACATAATGAGACTGTTGTAAAAAGTAGACTCTGGTCCGTCAGGTCTTTTCTGTAATTTGAAAACAGTTTATTCTTGTTTTGCTTCAGGTGGGGGACTTGCGCTGTGCATCCACAGATGCTAAAGACTAGTCACAAAGAAGCTGAAATGAAAACTGACCCTGGCCTCCAAACTAGTCAGGCATTCAGACTTACCTGGATTCCACCATAACTTTTAATCTGGCTGTGGTGTTCTACTGTTATGGTTTCTTTTTTTCCTCAGAAGTTTAGATGCACATTTTGTATTTGAAATTGAATTATAGTGTTAGAGTCATCAGTTAAAGTAGTGCTAAGCTCCAGTACTAATGAGCCCCTCTTTGGTTTCACAGGACCTGTTTGGTGTTAGCATGGTGGTTCCATTGTTGAATCTTCATGTCAGATCTCTTGGAGTAAGCCCCATAGTTGCTGGAATAGTAGGTGGGTGTTTGTAAACCCGCTTATTTGCAAAACATTGATTTTCAAATGCTCTGAAAAATAACTCAGCCCTTACCCAAACCTCACCCAAAAGGAAACAGGAAACGAAATGACTTTGCAGCCTGTTTCCAAGTACCACACCGTGAAGCAAATGGGCTGAATTTTTCCTGAACCACCTGCCTTCAGGAAGGCTTCTGAGGTTTGAGTTATTTCCACAGCCTATGCAGACTGACAGAAGCTCTGCTTCCTGGGCTTCTGGTAGTTTGGGCCAGGTATGTTGCAGTCAAGGCACAGCCTCTGACCACCTGTCCACAAGCACAGTTCTGGAACTCAATCTGAGTCCAGAGGGGCAGCCTATGGAAGTCATACCGAATAGGAACGGGTTTGTTTGGGTGACCACTTTGGGAAACTAGCTGGAAGCTTCCCATACCACAAGCACATTCTAGAAGCCGATAGAGTTTCTGCCCATGTAGCATGAAATTCCATTCAGATTTTCTCAATTTGTAAAAGAGATGGGAATCCCTGGTGCTTAGAACTGTGCATGCTAAGCACTGAAAAAACCTTAATGCTAACTGCCCTAGAGTCCTTCACTAGTTGCAAAAGAAGTTAGGCAGTTTTCCACATTACCTTTTTGTGTGTGTGTATGTATTTGTATACATTCACATATATACATATATACATACATACACATATACATATATATATATATATATATATATATATATATACATATATCTCCTGATCCCTCTCAACATATGTACATTCAATTATACTGACCACCCAGAAGCCTACCAACCTTTAGAAAAAGCCAAATGTACCTGTTGCATAACGAGGGAGGGGAAGGAAGGAACTCTATAAGTTCCTTAAATAACCAAAGCGTTTTCTGTTTAAAATTTGCTCATTTTTTTGACATTCCCCTCTGTCATTGTAGTTAGCACATATTGCTTATGAGATTTCCAGTCATGAATATAAAGGGCCCTCTTCTTATTCTTCTCTCACCGCTAAAAGGCTTGAGCTATGTGAGTTGGTGTTAATAACTCAGTGCTGGGTCACAGTTTTCCAGTATTCTGATGTGTGCTCTCTAAGACAGAGCAGGGCTACTTCTGGAGTCCCCGAGACCGGCCCTTGTTGTCCTTCTCATCCACTTGCTCACATTTTATTTTGAAGGGGCCTTTGAATTGTTTTAGAGAAGACATAGACCGGTTTAGCTTCCTGAGGATGACCTCTCCCTTAGTTTCCTGCCGATTTCTACTCAATTCTTGCCGGCCATGCCCACACCTTTTCTATTCTAACATTACCGATTGTTTTTTCAGGCTCTTCCTACGGCATTTTGCAACTCTTCTCCAGCACCTTTGTGGTAAGCTATCCATTGTCTATCGGGCAGCCCATCTCCAGCTTTTAGGAACTGTAGGTCCTCTACCCTGCGTTTATGAAATGGAAGCTCAGGGATTACTGAACAGTGGGCATGCAGGTGGTTATTAAACACAGCTTTGTTAGGTAAGAGACTGAGTAGAATCCTGTCCTCTGCCTTTTGGCCCCTGGGAAGATGTGTGCTTCAAAGACTCAGATGGCTTCTTTTGTGAGGCACACTGAGTACATGTTGAGGGAGAATATATTACATCATAACACGCTGACCCTGTGACTCAGTGCTGATTTTTGAGAAAAAGAATATAAACAGAAGCTATCATCCATTATTTGATTCATATAATGGACTACAGTCAAATCCACTTGCATTTCTACAATGCTGTACGGAAGAGTATGTACTAAGCTAATTGACTTATTATTTATGAGAGCATTTGGTAAGACTTTAAAGTTAATTGGTTAAGAATCCAAAAGATGGTACAGCAAAGGGATTCAGAAGTTATTTTCTCCCTCTTCTGGCTACTTAGTAGTCTGAAGTCCAGAGACTGTCAGTAAGCATCCCCATCTGTCTCCCCGTGCAACCCGCTGGAGGTCTGGAAGCCTTAGTGTCTGCAGCCAGGAAGTTCCGCTAGTCCCACAGGTTGCTGGGAGCGACTGATGGAAGCAACTGCTGGCATCTCATGTTTGGCTTGTGTTTTCCCTGCTTCCTAGCCAAGGAATAGCTTTAAAAGGCATTGAATAAGAATCTATGAATATTGTCAAGTGGATAAACAATTACTCCTTGATTTATCTTTCTTTCAAGTTTTGAAGACACTAAATTGGCATGTACTCAAGAAAAGGCCCAGCAGTTGCGAGAGCTCTCTGCTCTTTCAGCGGATCCAGGTTCAGTTCTTACCACTACAGCACAACTCCCAGCCTATGACTCCATTTCCAGAAAGCACAATGTTTTGTTTTGTTTTATTTTATTCTATTCTATTCTATTCTATTCTATTCTATTCTATTCTATTCTATTCTATTCTATTCTATTCTATTGGAGACAAATTGTCTCCGTGTAGCTATTTGTATCCTGGAAGTCCCTAGGTAGACCAAACTGGCCTTGAGCCTACAGAGAGTGGCCTAGCTTCTCAAGTGCAGAGTGTAACGGCATGTGCCACATTGTCCAGCCTGATCAAGTGTCGTCTAATGTCCTCCTTGGGTTCTACATGAACATGTAACACAGACATTCATACAGGTAAAACACTCAGGCACATAAAATAATAATACATCTTTTAGAAATATTAAATCTACCTAACACTCAAGTGCTCTAAACTCTAGCAAGAGAGAGAAGAACAGACAGGCTGACAAAGCCGCAGGCAGTGACTCCGACATTCTCTGACTAGCTCTGTCACCTGGCTGGAAGGCTTGATGTGTTTTAGCTGGGGTGTAGCTGTGAGAGATAGAGGAAGTATCAGAACAGAGAGCTGTCCTGGCCCCCTAGCCCCCCTTGCCCTCCACCTTGGGTAGGACACCCCTCACTCTGAGCCTCTTTCTTCTACCTTGGCCTGTGCTTGCATAGATTTGGGACCACAGGGTCTATTTTTCCCATTCACTTTCATTTTCAGTGTTTTCTAATTTCCCAAATGGAGCGTAGTTGCATAAAACAATAACAACAAAGACGGAAATGAGGCTTTGGGACTTGACCTTTTATTTCACCGACCAGTGAATTTCTTGGCTACTGGACCATCAGGCATCGTGTCTCACCTTGTGTATGACTAGAGAAAATAGCATGAGGCACAGGGCATGATACAACCATATGCATTTCCAACTCCCTGACATCTCCTGGGGCCATGTTGTATTGGTGTCTAAGTGGTACTCGTTGGTATTGGAGACCTCTGTTTGTTCCTCTCAGGGCTGCTGGAGTGATGTGGTCGGAAGACGGTTCTCCTTGCTGCTGTGCCTCCTGCTCAGTGCCCTGGGCTATCTCCTCCTTGGAATGTCCACCAATGTGTTCCTGTTTACCCTGGCTAGAGTCTCCGTGGGTGAGTTCCGATCCCAGTGGATTGTGTTCTCAGTGTATGTCTCTGTGTGAACCTGAGCCTGCTGCACAATGCCTCTTTAACAAGTGCTCACCCACAGAGACCAGTCGGCTGTAGTAATAGTGGCAGTGATCACTTGATTATTGTTGCTGTTTCCTGAGCATCTACTATCGGCAGCCCCTCTGGTAACTTATCCAAAGTTCCCATTCTCGCCTGTGACAGAGCCTCTCAGACTTGTTATTGTGAATTCTTCTGCTGTACCTGATCTGTCTCTTTTCTGTTGCCCTGCCTCTCCATGTTCAGACAATTAAGACCATGTGAGATGCCTTCAGTTAGCTCTGATTCACACTAAGATGTAGCTCAGAAGCTTTTCTGAAGCCCCCTGGAGACCTGATTGCTGACTGTATTACTATGTAGGAGAACCTAGGGTTGGTCTCCTTCTTCCAGACTGTTCTTGACTATTCCTAACACCTTGAGATAGCTTTCACCTTGGACCTTCAGTGAGATGTTTTGTCAACTCTTGGAAACTTCACCCGTAGGTGTTTGGTAGGTGGGGACCTGCTGTGGAAACTATATCCCTCCTTGCCTTTCTTAGCATCCTGAGCTCCAAATCTCATCAGTTGTCTTTCCTTAGCCAGTATGGCATGACTAGACTCTGTTACCCTAGTCACAAGGCTGCAACACTGCACATCGGTCCTCATCGAGTTAAGCTCCATTAACACCACAGAGAAGAGCGCTCTCCCACTAACACACAGCTCATTTGAAATTGTCACACATGTGGGACATGAAAGTTATAGACATCACCCTTCCATATATCAGGGGTTTAGCTGTTGGCTGTATGTTTAGAAGCTCTCTCCTTAAGTGTGGTTCACAAGCCAACACCACCAGTACATTCTAAATTACACTTACTAGCTGTTCACGTGCATCCTGGTGTTGCATTTATTATAGTATTGTTTGGTTGATGGTGTGTCTTCAGCACTACACCCCACTATACTCCTCCACCATTCATGTTAGGTAAGGAGCCCAGCAGAAGCCACCATGTCATGTTCCAGCTTGAAATGATACACAGTGATCTGCCAGGAGCTTATAGATGTCGACTAAAATGGCCGACACCCATTGCCAGGGCTCATCAATGCATTCCTAAGTATTCCTCACATGAATGTCAAATAATCCTCAGCAGCCTACAGTCATGCTGAAGCCATCAGGTAGTCGGCAAACAAATTCACAAGTCTCTGACTAGTTGGAAGGAGTTGGTATTGGTTATATGAAGACACAGTCATCCATCGTCACAAGAGTTTCAGTCAGAACATCTGTTTCAATGTTCAAAAACATTGAAACAGATGGCTATAAGCTAATGTAAACAGGCAGCTTTTGTGGAAACTTACAAGCCTGAGTAGTCATAGACCTTGTAAATAGGTAACCTTGGCAGACAATACCAACTTAGATAAGGACAAGCGAGTTATAGGCAGAGTCATAGTGACTTGTCCCCTGAACCTTCACCCAGCCGATACCCAGTTTTGAAGACATCTGTATTCCCCCTGAACATCCACACTCCACTGTCATTCCCTTCCCCACGTCCTGCCTTTCTGTGTTTATAACCCCTGTGTGAATGAATTACAATTTGAGAAAAAATAAAGAAAGAAAGAAAGAAAGAAAGAAAGAAAGAAAGAAAGAAAGAAAGAAAGAAAGAAAGAAAGAAAGAAAAGAACTCCACTTGGCTCAGGGATGAAGAGCAGCCCGGATGAGTCTGGCCCTTCAGAGTTCTGAAGGTTCTAGAGCATTCTCTTCAGAGCACGTCTCCTCTCCCTTGCAGGTGTTTTTAAACACACCCTCTCCATCTCCAGAGCACTGCTTTCTGACCTGATCACTGAGAAGGAGCGGCCACTTGTGCTGGGACAGTTCAACACAGTCTCCGGTGTAGGCTTCATCTTGGGCCCCCTGGTTGGTGGATATCTGACTGAACTGGATGGTGGATTCTATGTGACAGCCTTCATTTGCTGCTCTGTCTTCCTCCTCAATGCCGGTGAGTTCACTGTTGGGCATGTGTACTTAAAACTCACACGTCTACCCACATCTATCTTCTTGCACTTCTTTGTAACATTTTATCTGTTCTCGGTGAGTTTCACATCATGCACCCCATTCCCCTCATCTCCCTACCTGCCCTCCACCCTTATAACCACTTCCACAAAAGAAAAAAAAAATCTCAGTATGGGAGCTGTAATATGTCACAGTGCATCTCACAGGGTACACTTTTGTCCACACTTCTTTGCTTGCAAATGTTTATTGCAATGAGTTGCTGGTCTGGTTTGAGCCCTCTGGCTTCTGCTACGCTGACAATACTGGAACTGACTGAGACTCCTCTTGACTATCCTGTTGTTGCCCTGTATCATGGAGATCCTGTAGCTTTGGATTTATCTATAGGACTGTCTTCATGAGCTCTAACAGTTCTTCCATGGGAGTAGATGTTGGGCTGGGCTAACTCAAAGCTCTGGATCTGGGCCTGGGAGGTATCTGAGCTGGTCTGCCTACCAGCTCTCCAGCACCCTTACTTCCAGGGTAAGCTCTCCAGTACTTGTGTGGCTAGCTCATCCAATACCACGGCTGCCGGGGGGAAAGCCAACTCTCTAGCCCCACCCAAGCCATCAGGGCCAGCTCTACTGTGCTGCCCAGATGAGGTACAGGGCCTGTTCTGCTGAGTGCTGCATCAGTTGAAGGGCTGGATCATGCCCTTTCTTGCTCTCACTCCCTTGGGGCTGGCTCACCTACATCCCCTGCAACCAGGGCCAACTCTATCATACTACCCAGGTGAGGTGCAGGGTCTATTCTTCTGAATGCTGCAGCGGGTGAGGGGCAGGGCCAGGTTTCCCCCCACTAGAAGTGGCATAGGCAATGGATGGAGTAGGGCATCTTTCCCTTGCCCATAGCACCACATAGCAGATATCTTAGTTAGGGTTTTATTACTGTGAAAAGACACCATGACCAAGGCAACTCTTATGCATAAAAGATTTCATTGTGGCTGACTTACAGTTTCAGAGTTTTAGTCCATCATTGTCAGGCATGGCAGCATCCAGGCAGACATAGTACTGGAGGAGCCAGGAGTTCTACATCTTGATATGCAGACAGTAGAGGGGAACTGGCTTCTGCAGGTAGCCAGGAAGAGTCTGTCTTCCACATTGGGTGGAGCTCGAGCATAGGAATCTCAAATTCCACCCCCACAGTGATACATACAGTAAATATGGCCCTTCTTCTAGCAAGGCCATACCTACTCCAACAAGGCCACATCTCCTAATAGTGCCACTCCCTGGGTCAAGCATATTCAAACCAGCATATCAGACAGGTGGCTGAGCTAGCAGCCCCATACTTACCCACTCAGGGCTAGCTCATACGTAACTTGTGTAACCAAGGCAAGCCCTACTGGCTTTCTTGAACAAGGGTGCAGCCACTCTCCCAAGTACTACATCTGGTGAAGGGTAGGGACAGCTTTCCTGTTCTCATGCTCTCAGGACAAGTTCTCTCATGAGGCCCAGGCAAAGGATGGGGCCAGTTCTGCACAACTATCAGACATCAACATGGCACAGGGTGGCAGTCTAGACCAGGGATGTCTACCTGGGCATTGCTGGTAATGAACCCAGCTGCTGCAGCACCACAAACCCAGACAGCAGAGTTCAGGACCCTACTTGTGCACATATAACTCACAGGGACACATACACTCACATACACATTAACATAATAATGATAATAATATAGTAGGTAGAGTTGTTCAAGAATGAAAGTTAATTTGATGATCCTCTCTTGCCAAGGACCAGCCTCAGCTTAGAGAAGGGATCCCGAAGAAGAGGTGTTCGACAGTGCCAAAAACAAAAACAAACAAACAAACAAACAAACAAAACAAATTGTAGGTACAAGCTGGCAGCTTGTGTTCTGCTCAAGATAGCTTTCTGAAGATCACCAGACAGCTCAGTTCCCTCAAACCAAAGCCCAGTCTTTTATTTACCTATCAATTCAATCATCTACCCCAGGCTTCCTTTTGATTATCCTACCAATCAGCATTTTTTTGACCTTAGCCCCTTGATTCCTAGGAAAAGCCAGCCAGCACATTTTTCTTAACATTGCAAATTAATTTAGAGGCCAGCCTTTTTAAGCACAGACAATAAGCTAGCTAAGTGGGATCCAGCTCTGAGATCAACACTCCCACCACACCTGAGCCTAAATTCTCTCTGTCCCAGGCTGACCTTGAACTCAGGTATCTGCCTGCCTTTCTATCTTTTTGACAAGCTGGCTATGGCACAGCTGCCTCTGTTCTTTGAGGTTTGTGAAGGCCCTTATATAATTCATATTGCATCCTTACATTATGCATAGTTGAGAAATTATATACTTTTGAACTCATGTTTTCAGAGTTCTTGACCACAACCTTAAGGACTGTCCTGAGGGTCACAGCATTTACCATTTTTGCTAAGGATATAGACACATGCTCACCTCCCAGACTTGTGCTGTCTCTGATAATCATGAAGTTATTAACCTTGACAGAGAACACATTCCCTGGTAAGCTTGGCAGGGATAACATTTCCCAAAGGAGGAATATGAAATAAAATATGTATCTTTTTATACAACAAGCCTCACACCCAGCAACCAGCAACACTTGTGGATGCCCATGCCATCCCTTCCATGAGCACTCTCTCTTGCTCTCATGATGACTGGACAAGTTTGCATCCCACCAGCCTGTGTAGGCTTTCTCACTATCACAGCATCACTGCCATTCAGGAATTCCCTAGAAGAGGAGGTAACACCTTAGTATGGCTGTGTCTTGGACTCCGATTGCTAGTGATGATGCTGGACACCAACTTGCTGACCATTTGTTGGAGTCGTGTTTATCCAAGTTCTGCTAACTCTTATTTTGTTTCGCCTTTTTGCTATTAGTGGAAGGAAGAATACCTTGTATAGCTCAGATTTTAACTTTTCAAAAACAATTTTATAAAAATTTAATTGCTATGATGTTATTACACTTGTGAAATATTTTGGGTACAAATATGTCAGGCAACAGTGCAAAATGTTAGATTTTGATCCTTCTATCTGGGATACATTTATTCTCCAGATAAAATCGTTTTATTTTTTTTAATTGTTTAAGAATTCCATACATTGTATTTTGAGGAAATTCATTTCTCCATTCCATATCCAATCAGCTTATATCTTTATAAAAAAGAACAATAACAACAAAATCTCATTAGTGCAACCCATGTACTTGTAAGAGTGTTAATTCACTGGAGGATGTTAGACCTACCAGGGACCACACCCCTAGAGCAAACTCTCTCTCACCTGGCCAGCAGCAGTTACCAACAATCCCTCATACGGATTGGGACTTTGTGTCCTCCACATCTCTGCTTTGTGGTGGGGTTCTATGTGACTTAATATTAACTTTTCATCAGATTTGAGTACTACAAATAATGCCTACTTTTTTCATCTTCCGTTGACTTCAGAGACTGTTTCCCTGCTGTGAAGGAAACCTTTCAGATTGCTGTGGGTCTGCTGTCCCTGTGTGCTTTTGTGGCCTGTCTTTGTGATAGTGTACTGGAAACACCCTTGCAAAGCCCAGCTCTGACAAGTGGCTTTCCTCCCTTTTCTTAAAGGCATTGTGTTTACGTCTTACATTCATTGTCAATCCATGTTGCCTTCATTCTTGTGTATGACAAGTGATAGGGACCAATTCCATCATTTTCTTTGATAACAATATATTATCTTAGTTATTATAATCTATATGAAAACAACTCCATTTTTAATAGATCTCTTAAGTTTTTCAATAAAGTATGAAAGTTTTTTGTTTTTTGTTTCTTAAAGAGAGCAGTTATGCATGTTTAGCCACAGACCCCCTCTGTAACCCTTGGTTAGGGTGATGTCAGGCCTGCTACATGGTGATAGGCAGCGCCATGTTTTCTCTCCCATCTGCACAGCTGTAGAGACTTCATGGTCTACCTCACACATGCAGGCTGGCTCTCACTGAAAGGCTTTGCCCAACTCCTTCTCTGCAGCCCTCATTCTTCTCATGTGTCTTTCTCAGCACTCCTTTCACCGTTTACTTCAGATATTTGCTTCATTTCTCTCTGTCTGGCCATTCTGAACAAACAGAGCTTTTCATAGCACCTCCAAAATCCTGTTGCTATTCTACAACATACTGCACAAGGGCTGACATTATGCCACGTATGTCTCTGGATGTATTCCATGGTATTCAATGAATAAAAAATGCCTCGCGCACTTTGCCGCCCTCAAATGAGCTAGGCGCTCAGAGACTCTTCCTCTTTGCCCAGAGACCACAGCGTGGACAGGTCTTGATAAACATCTTTGCAAATGAGAGAAAAACCAAGCAGACTGTTTGCCCATCCATTTAATCATATGCCACTTTGCTTCAGGGGTTTGAACCTTCACCTTGGAGCACAATAATGAGCAATACACTCCATGCTGGGTTAACTTGAGATCCAGGAAGTGAAGTCCATGTGTTTAATCTCGATTGTGACAGAACCACTTTATAATTTCTATCTGGATCTGGACCCTTACCCCCCTCCACCCAGGTCATAAACACAAGCTTATGATAAAAGAAAAGATAAAGGTTTAATATTTTTAGAAGCATGACGGTGGAGGTTCTTTATAGACAGACTTCTTTCTCAGGGAAGACTAAAGGATGCCTACCCCTCCTTAAAACGTTCCAAGAAGGAAGCAGAAAGCAACACCAAAGTTCAGCCTTGGAAGCCGGTGGACTATAGAGCTTTCTTGGTACAGAGCTTAGGCGAGGCCAGCTGTCAGTAGTGTAAGTGATTCTGAGCAGTCACACTGGGAAGTCCGCAGCCAGCAGGCTGACGATCGCTTCTAGCACTGACGTAGATGCAGACCCTCTTAATCAGCTTCTCCTAGCCTACATGGTCTAGAACCTCCTCTGACACTTCTTGATGTCTTGTGTAATTAAAGTAAAATTGCACAGAGATGGTTGGGAGGAGCCCTGGAACCTCAAGCTTCTTCTATAAGGGAAATGTCTGCATGATGACTAATTCCTTTAAAAAATATCTTAAAATAAACTTTAATCAAAATATATCACTTTTCCCTTCCTTTTCCTCCCTCCAGGCCCCCTCGTACCCTTCCTCCCAGTCCTTCCATCCCCAACACTTACTCTCAGATTCATAGCCTCTCCCCTTTCTGTTATTGGCATGTATGTGTATGTGTGTCATGAATTCTTACGAGCAGACACAGCTGCTCTGATGAAGGTGGTGGCTGTTTTACTTGAAGAGCCACTTTCTGCATCATTAGATCCCAGTGTCAGCGCTGTTTGGTACAGTGCCTCAGCCTGAGCCTGTGGTCCAATGTCAGATGTATTAGGAATGTGCAGTTGCATGTGTTCCTGACTATGCTGGCTAAATAAGAGAGGTCTCTTTCTCCCACTTTAGATATCTGGGAATAGGCAGTCCTGCGGCAAGGTGGGACATACAAGAGGGGTGGGAGAAGGATCCAGCTAGGTGCAGAATCCTGGTGTTCCTGGTGGTCTTCAGCCAGGTAGCAAGCATACAGCCTCTGGTTTTCTTATCCCAGTGCTCCATCATGCCCTCTTTTCTGTATTTCTCCCACTAAGAAATTATACTATGGTGTCTGACAGACAAGTTCATTTCCTGCCTTGCTGTCAATCAGTGTGAAGCATGAGAACACCTCCTCCCTTCTCTCCTAGTCTAAGGTATACCTGCAAAGCTTCTGGCCTGGTTACAGAAACCAGGGAGATTTTACACAAAAGCAGTTTTACCCAAGTGTCCTTGTAGCCCAGGTTAGCCTCATGTAGCCCAGGTTAGCCTCCAACTTTTTATGTAGCTGAAGATGACTTTGGACCTTCTGCCCCTGTCCTCTCTCTAAGCCTATTTTTAGGTCTGGGTTTTACGAGGGCAGGCTTTTATCACTGGGCTTTGACTTGTTTGTTTGGTTATTTCTAGTGTCATTAGCACATTGAAACAGCACTCTGGGAACTGAGTACAGTTGCACAGATGGATGGATAGATGAGTGGACAGGTAGTTAGGAAGTTAGAAAGTTTGTTGAGAAAAGCCTTTACATGGATACCTTAATGAACATGAGAGTGTAGCTATGAAGTGATACCACCGGAGAAACCAGCATATGAGTGAGAACACGGTGACTATTTCATGTGTAGTTTCAATAGCTTTTCTAGAACTCAGGGGTCCATTGTTGGGATCCTGAGGCCCACAGCAAAATCATAGGCACGGTGGGAAAGCTAGACTCGACACAACCAAGTAAATCTGGTATAAAACACAGGTGTTCGATCTAACACAAATACCCATTCCTATCATCATAGGGCTCCTCCCTGGGAGCCACTGTGAGAACCCAGCACCCTGGCCACCCTAACAAGTCTCCCAAACCTTTCAATAGGTCTAGTCTGGCTGTTACCTTGGAGAGAAACAAGCCTCAACATCCCAGACAATGGATGGCACTTGGATGGGAAGCACACTACAGTACCCATAAAGTCAGAAGGTACACTACAGGGAGCAGCCACCACCCCTATGGCCAGGAAGAGTGAGAGGAAAGTGAAGGCCCCCTGGGTTGAAATCATGTCGGCCTTGAAGGACATGAAGAACCTGATCTTTTCTGCACTGCGGGACATATTGATCGTGCGCTTTCTGATGGGAGTGGCCGTTATGCTGTACTACAGTAACTTCATCTTGGGCCTAGAGGAGCGTTTTGGGCTACGGCCCAAGACCACAGGGTACCTCATCAGCTATACCAGTGCCCTGGGGAACCTGGCCGGCTTCGCCGTGGGGCCCATTCTACGGCTGTACAGGCACAACTCGCGCATGGTCCTCCTGCACTCCAATGCACTCACCTGCCTCCTGCTCCTGCTCTTCTCCACGACCGGCTCCATGGCTATGGTGGTGTTCTCCTCAACGCTTCTGTCCTTCACTACCGCCATTGGGAGAACCTGCATCACAGTCCTCCAGCTGAGTATGGGCGGAGCCCAGACCAGCGGCACCATCATAGGCGTAGGCCAGTCTGTGACTGCGGTAAGCCGCATCCTTGCCCCCCTTCTCTCTGGAGTGGCCCAGGAGATCAGTCCCTGTGGCCCCCCAAGCCTGGGTGCTGCTTTAGCCCTGGTGGCTATTTTAATTATGACTCTAAACAGACCTTCCTTCGGTGGGGAAGGGAGCGAGAGACTCAAACAGGAGTAGGATTGGGACCACTTGGAGAAGCGGATTTCGAACCAGGCAACTCGGGGACAAAGATGGGCATTTCAGGGACAGTGGGTGGTGGTGCAAGTGCAGTTATTCCCAGATGACTCGGTCTTACCTGAACAGGTATGCCAGCAGAGCCAATTAGAAGTCAGCAGCATATAGGAAAGTTTAGACTGAGCACAGCCCTCCTGGGGTCGACCGTATCAAAAGCTTGCCTGAGAGGCTAATCTTTGCACCTGGGCACAGTAAAGTTAACGTTTGCTTCTGGGGAAAGGCAGCATGCTACAAGAGGTGGGAGAGTGACTTGGAATGTGGAGGGAAGCCTCAGTGTTAATCCCGGACTGGCCACCTGTCTGGGATTCAGCTCCACATAATCCCAGAAGCCAAAAGCAGCTTTTCTGCACAAATCCCAGAGACCATCCTGATGCTGTCTCAGCTGGTAACATCAGATGCTGAGCCCTTAACCCCAGACATTTAGATACATAGGCCTCGCTGAGGTCAGACCTGTGGGCTTTTAAGCCCCAGTGGCCATTTCTCACGAAGGGGGGAGGTACACTGAGATATAGTTTTGATTAAAGTAAAAATTGGGAGACTGCGCTGTTTTTAATAGTTAACTGTCGTGCCCCTTAAACCTACTGATTCCAACTGGGGTACACCACCTTTCCCTCCTCTCAGGAGTCAGACTGCACCAGGAACAAGCAACTTTCAGGGCTGCCTTTTCTCCTCCTTGTGACTTAGTAACTTTGGATAGCAGCGCTACCCTCAATCCCCCACAACCTCAAATTCTGGGATCACAGACCCAAAATCCACATTCCGTATGATTCTCTTGATTATTCCTTTGGTGCGTGATGCTCACTTTCAACCTAACACAACATGTAATTGTGAGTGGTTCTTCAATGCACTAAATTCTCATAACTCTAATGTTTACTATTTATAAATCAGCAAAAGGATGTTTTCATGTTTTAGATGTTCTATGTGGGATAAACTCAAATATTTATGACTGTTGGAAGTTTATTTTAGCTTGAATGCCTTCCCCTTTCCTCTCTGTCTGCGAGAAAAACAATTCACTTTTAAGTTGTTTCCACTGTGAATTTTAACACAGGCACTAAGAACTCTTAAGGGGCCAAAGCATGGCGTAGGTGGCCATGACCTCACACCGCATCTGATTGTCATGGAGACTGGGGTCAGAGGGCCAGTGATTAATCTGATGATGGTATGACACAATGAGGTTAGGTTTCAGAAGTATTTCTACCAAGATTGTACTCTCAAAGACAGTGGACTTTTCTTACAAACGCTTACAGAAGCCATGTTTGTTTTCTTAAAACCATACGTGAAACAAGTTCAGTGAGACTTTAAAATTAATAAGAAACATGGAGATATTGAAAACTCAAATCAACCACTATCTAGAGAAACACTTGTTACCCTGTATTAGGTAACTTTGGGAATTTATTAATGGGATGGTTTTCTGTTCTGTCTTCTTATTTGGTAAACAATCGCTCACATTTCATCTTGTCTGGTGTCTTGTTCAAAGTATAGTCCCTTGACCATCATGTCCTGGGATACATGCTCCAGCTCCAGCATACACCTGCTAGGGGCCACTTTGAGGAACCATGTAACTGATTTGTTTACACAGAAAACTTTGGCAACCACTAGTCTGGTGTATGGTGTTTATAACCTTTTATGGGGTAAAATCTCAGGGAAATTAAATCTGTTCATTTAACGTGTGTCCTGTTCTTTAAATTCTTTTGCATAAGGTCCATAATCCTGCCTGAAGTATTGGGGTGAGCCACATTAACTTGTTCCTGTATAAGGGAAAATTGCCTCTGTGTAGTTTAACTTGCAGCTGTATGGAAACTTGCTTTAGAGACACGGAGTGTTTGTGAAGGGAGCTTACCTGTCCACTCTCAATGTTCCAGCCACAGATAGATGCTGTGGAACTGTATGTTTCAGAAGACATGGCTTTCCCACAGAGCAGAAGGCACACAGCTCAGTCTAGAGATACAAGTAAAAGACGGGACCAGGAGCTATATTTGGAAGGCTTCAACAGTGAGCTGAGTGGCATAAAGAGTGATGTTGTGCCTAAGTCTTTCCTGTTGCCCGCCAAAAGAGAAACATAATGCTTGTTCTCTATCTGAATGTACACCTTGACCCACAAGGTCCAGATACCTAACACACAAGGCTGAGGATCACTGGGTAGAGTAGGAAGCAGGGTGGGGTGAAGCAAGAAGCCCCAGTTCTAGCTGAGGAGCTACTGGTAGATGGTAGGTGGCCACTGGCAATGGGGATGAAGAGTCTTCTTCCTTAACAGCATGGCCCCTACAGGTCCACCACCTCCTGGCTATTCCACATCTAAGAGTATTTGGGCAGTACAAATAAGAAAATAGTTAGTTGGGTGGGGAGAGAGGCAGAGATAGACCTGGGAGAAGTCATGGGAGGGGTGAATGTGATAAAAAAAATACACTTGAAATTCTCAAAAAAAAAAGAAAAATATTTTAAAACAGAATATGGCTTTTTTTTTTTAATCAAAACACAGAACAGGCTGGGCAGTGGTAGCGTATGCCTTTAATCCCAGTGCTTGGGAGGCAGAGGCAGGCAGATTTCTGAGTTTGAGGCCAGCCTGGTCTACAGAGTGAGTTCTAGGACAGTCAGGGCTATACAGAAAAACCCTGTCTTGAAAAAACAAAAAAAGAAAACAAACTATCAAACAAAAACAAACAAACACGGAGCAATGATAGAAGGTAATTCTGGATTGCAATAGTGGAAAAAATGTATTTTTATCAGTCAAATGAAATCCTTCTATCTTGATAAACAAGAATCCTTTCTTCAGTGTAGTCACCTAAGGAAAATAAATAGGATCGAAATGGAAGGTGGCAATTGGAGACATGGGTGGAGTTGGGTCAGAGGTCAGGAGTCAGAGGTCACCTCTCTTCAGGCTTGTTTGTCTAAGACTGCTAGGTGCCCTATATGTACACAGCCATAGGTTCATCCTAAGAATCAAAGGATATTTCTGGAACTATAACCCATGTCAAACTTTACGCAGCCTGTTTTATTTTTCCTCCCCTAAACAGATATCAAATTTTCCCACCTTCGCTGCTACACTGCTTCCATTTTGAGGTACTAAAGCAAATGCAGGGTGAACATCTCTATCATGCTTCACAATTTTACTAATAGGTTATTCTTTTGTCCCAAGTTAAGAACATTCACCTTTGTGATAACAGGCTAACGGCAAGCACTTCCAAGCTTCCCTTTGCCAGATGTAAATGGCATCCTCTGAGTGGTGGGACCTCTAGGAACACAAACAATGTATGCCCACACAGTTGACCAAGTAACCAAGTAATAACCAAGGTAACTGCTAAGTCCCTAGCATATAGGCAACATGCAGGGCTAATATTGAGACAAGGCACAGAACAGCATAGAACAGCTGTCCATCACTCTGCACACAATGGTGTGCATTTAAAACTCGTGTGTTATTTATTTCCAGAATTTTCACTCAATGTGTTTCATATCTCGGCCAGAAATAACTGAAATTACATGAAGAGAGACTTCAGTTATTTAAAAAGAAAACTACTATATTCCATTCTGAATGCTAGGTGTTTGAGAGCATTAATTGTTTGGTGTGATAGCTTATGTAACTGAACTGGTCCCAAACTTAGTTGTTACAATAAAACTTGTATGAAATGCACAAGATAAATCTGGTACTGCCATGTCTGGTTGTGGTTCTGCTACCATATGAGTATTTATTCCTAATGCCAGTTTGTTCTTTGTGGCTGAACAGTGGTCTTGGCTGTCACTGTCACAGTATCTTTAAGGGACCTTCTCTTTGGAATGAACGGCATGTTCAGTGTGCCAAGCGGTACCTGCATTGAAAGCGACTTTCTAGCCAAGCATAAGCACTTAGAGATGCCCTGGGATGAAGGAAGAAGCAACTGCTCTCATGATGTGTTAGTCACATGTCCCATGCCATGCACGGATGAAAACATATAAATTGGTAGGTTCATACAAGACTTCATAAAATCTGCAACTCATGGTAGGGACTCAGGGTATATAATGATTGCCTTTAGACTGGAAGGGGAAGGCAATATTTCATATTCAGGAGCAGGCACTATCTCTGAATCCTTTAAGAGGATCTCTTTATACATAAAATTGAAGAATCTAGTATTTTTCCTATAATGAGACAGGAACAGGATTTTGGCTCAAATATAACTCAAAGCTTTTCGTATTCTAAAATTCTTCTCTTTCACAAACTGCAACCCTCCCAATGTGTCCAGTACAAACAAGAATCAAATCTATATACTTAAAACTGATGTGTCTGCGACTGATCTGGTGCTCTGGTTTCATGGGACATCGTTTGCTCTAGACATGGTTGAGACATTTTTCACCAAAACAGGAACATTTTTTCTTTTAACAGTGTACATGTGCAAAAGATATGCTTGGCAAGAAGTTAACCTAGATGCAAAGACCTTGTTGTCAAGTTGCATAAACTAGAGGAAAACAATGAAAAGAGCTATGTACCAGTCCAACATGAATTAAAACTTCAAAACTGTAAACAGTTGCAAACTGGTAAATGCAAAGTCAAAGTAAGTACAGCCAAGATGAGAGAGCCTAGGAGAAAGGATGCTGCCACGGCCCTTTAATGCAGTTCCTCAGGTTGTGGGTACTTCCACCCATAAAAGTTTTTCCATTGCTACTTCATAACTGTACTTTGCTACTGTTAGGAATCTCAATGTAAATATCTGATATGCAGGAATCTGGTATGTGATGCCTGTAAAAGAGCCCCATCAACCCACAAAGGGGTTGCAACTCAAAAGTAGAGAACCACTGGCCCAGAGTAAGTTTTCCTAAGCAATAGTCTTCTTGAACAAAGGAGGCAAGACGGAGTTTCTTTGGGACTCTATGTATTCACATAGGAAGGTACTTTAAGGGTGGGTATATTCCAGTTCATGGTCAGTTACAGTCATACTGTAAGAAAGTAGACCCATTTGGGGTATGGTTACCTCAAGTCCTTAGAGAATACATGTGGAGTGTTAAGACGGTGGCTAGGCTTAGCTCCGGGTGTGCTCAGCTTGCACATTGACACAAACTTTCAGCTGAAATAGAAAAGGACACTTTGAAGGTGCATTAATGTGTTATCTGCTTAGCGGCTAACTCAACTGACCACACGTGTGTTTCTTTTACACATAGCTAGAGTGGCTGACCACTCTCTGGAGATGTCAGCTTAGTGGAGTAGATTGCTTAGGAATTCTGGAGGGAAGGGCTATGTACGAGAGACAAAGAGCTATGGTGAGTGCTTGGCAGCCAATCAGGTTCCCATTTTCTTAGAAGGCATTCTGCTTCCAAAGTGGGATATGTGTATGTATGTATGTATGTATGTATATATGTGTGTAAATGTATGTATGTATATATTTATATGTGTGTGCTTATGTGTATATATCATATATAATATATAATAATATATAACATATACGTTATATGTTATATATTCTAATATATAACATATATTCATACACACACACACATACACACACACACAGTTATACTCTTTTTTTCATGGACATGGATTGGATGTATCACTCAAGGGCTCATAGCAGCTGTGGTTTCCTATGCAAGACTTGTACATGACAAAGCCAGTGAAAATTCCAGCATGGATGGGGGAGGGGGTCTCCTGGCCTCACTCCTTTCTGAGAAGCTACTGGCTGTTGCTGGGAGAGGGAAACTGTGTGTCTACCAGTAGGTTTTTCATGTTCTGGCGAATAGCCACACAGCCATGCAATATGGTTAGTCAGCACTATTTGATTCTAATGAGTTATCAAAAATGAACAAGAGGAGGAAGAGGAAGAGGATATGTAGCTAGAGGGTACATTTAAGAGGTGTATACAATCACATTTTATTATACGCATGTATAAAATTCTCAACAATTATACTAAAACAAGAAGAGAAAACGAAACAAAAGCCCAGGGTACCAGTTGGGAGTCATAAGTTTGCCTTTTCATTAAGGTGTGGTTGTGGACCATCCTCCTCTCCTAGCTCCACGCAGACTGTTTCTGCATCTGCATTTCCCATCCACTTGCTATGGAAGATGTAAATGAACAAACAAATAAACAACAAACACAAAAGCCACATGTTGATGCTCCATGTCCTTAATCTCAGCACTTGGGAGACAAGCGCAGGCAGATCTCTGTGAGTTCAAGGCTAGCCTGGTCTATAGAGTGAGCTCCAGGACAGCCAGAACTATACAGAGTAACCCTGTTTTGAAAAACCAAAAAACAACGTGCATCTCTGCTGAGCATACATAGATATCCAGTCATTTTCCCCTAAACACTGAGGGGTACTCTTGAAGGAGCAGGTGTATTTTAAGTGTTATGGATCACCTCAAGATCCATAAGTGTAAAGAGAACATGCTTGGGTTCTATGTAAACGAGCATTTTATACAACGGACTTGGGTCTCTGAAGATTTTCATGTTCTCAAGGGGCCCAAAACCCATGCCCTAGTGGTGTTCAGGGGTCACATATAGTGCCATCTGTCACTTCTTCTAGACAAAGTGGTATTAGTAATGCACACTTTGAACTGGCACTAATACAGTACTTATGACAGGTGATGAAATGTCAGTTTTAACCCAAATACAGAATGTGGGAAGGCATGATAACTTCCTGACTATACTTTTTATAAACACATCCCCACTACACAGAAATGGATCAATGAATTCCAGCCCAGGCATTTGG